CACTGAACCTATATCAAACAAAATACTGAATGTTCTTTTTTTTTTCTAAAATAAGCAAGTTTACTCAGTCCTATTGTATGGACATTTACGTGCATTCTTGTAATGATCAGTCAGAACAAACACAATAGGCAAGCTGGGTTGTTTCAAAACAAACCAGGATATTAGAGAAAATGTCCAAAAGAAATACCAGGAATTGCCAGACCCCAAAGTGATATCAGTTGTTTGTTTTGCCTGACCAACAGTGTAAAATCCAAATTTATTCATGTGTGACGAATAAACAGAAAAAAGCTGAAATCAGATTATTTTAAATGTTTTTGCTTGATAAGTGACTTGATCAAAATGGTCAAAATTGTATTGATTAATTTTATATTATATATTGACTTTTACTTAACTGATTCAGGACCACACTAATATCCCACAGGTTTAACGGTCTAAAGAAACACTATTACACTGTCAAAATTAAAACAAAAGGAGTTGTTCTGATCCAACAACTTCAGAAGAAAAAAAAAAGACATAATGACATGCTTGGTCACTGCTGGACATTACACACGATGTAGCTTGTTGTTCCATCCTGAATGTAATTAAACGAGACATAACTGGGATACTAGTGAGCATGTAAGCATACTGTCAATTTAAAAATGGCAAGCAGTATCTGTGGGGAAAAAACAATTTGACCCATAGGATCCATTGTGAAAGCCTTCATCACTTGTTGATAAGCAGTTAATGCTTTGTGTACTAAGAAGGCTCATATGTGTGACATATCCACTCATACTCAGAGACTGTATAATACCTTCATCACCGTGATACGCTCTGGTGAGAAGGCTGAGAGAGCTCTGACGTGTGTCCAAGGCAGCAGAACGTGTTTCACATATTGCTGTGGACTAACAAGGCTTGAAGCTGCTCCACTGTGTTGACTGGAAGCATTCTCTCAAGGTCTTTGTGACCAGGGCAGTGACGCACAGACGAGCTCCCCGGAGGCCGAGCGTGGAATTTGAGTTGAGGGATAGAGTGGGGGGGGGGGGGGGGGGCACTCTCATGGGATTAAACCTAAGGTCTGCACCAGTGATTGTGGTGTAACCAGGCAACACAGCCAAAAACACGTCAGCACCAAAAACCCACTCAGGTAGAACTGCCAGAAGCCATGTTACTGAAAAGATAGATCTCCCACAAAATGAGAAAAATAGTACGAATAATATTCTGGTATGCCTTTAAAAACACTGGTTCCTTCCTTTTTCCAGTCTGTTAGACGGCACATTATTTTCCTTCATGTCATCACAGCAACTCAACAGCACACACTTCCCACTGTTTCACTTGCATGGTGAAAACTTACAATTCTGATTGTGATTTTAATTCTCTTGGTGACAAAGGCCTTTTCCTGAAAAGGATGACTGAATGAAAGTTGTTCTGCAGTGGAACCCTAGTTACCACTTGTCGCTCCTGCTGCTGTAAGTAAACACAGGTTAACACCTGTTCAGACAGCCTTGCGGTGTATGTGTCCGCCAACTAGTCAAATTGCAGTTGACATCTCCTTTTGTTCTGTTGTCTTTGTCTCTTTCTCCCTCTGTGTGTTTCTTATTTTTTTACTACCTGTGTGAATGATGTGCTAAATTTTAAGACATTCCCTCAAAGTGTTCCTGAGATAGGATAGACGGGCTGAGAACACAAAAACATAATGCCAATAGTCAAAAAACTGTCCTATTTGAAAAGAATCATAAAAAGATGGCTCTAATATATTTAAATTGTTGTAATAACGTACATTCCAGCAAAGCACACATTGTGACATTTGTTTAAAAAACAACAACAAACAAATACAATAAAAACATCAGTTTTTGGTATAAGTCAGATATTGAAGATCTGAAACAACACCTGACATTTCAGTAGTTTTGGTTTCTGGACACCTGCATTGACCCCTGGTGCTCCATGTAGACTATAAAAACACCACTGAAGTCTTCCCCCGCCAAAAACGTTGTTAATCAGTGTCACAAGGACAACGGAATTTCGCTCACCATGTTCAAATGTTTTAATTTCTATATATGATAGGGTTGGGCGATGTCTGCAAAATTTCCATCGGACGATGTCTGCAATGCAGCGGATATTTTACGCATGGACCAGGTAAAGCAGCAGGGAACACACAGAGTGCAGATGTCGGTTTCAGTTGTTTGATAGGCTGCATCATTAATAAGCCGACGTGCGGCTCACCTGCTGCCGTGAAAACGGATCGCGGGAGGAAAAATACGGAAAAAAGACGAGTTCTCAGTCTTTTAGGTGACTTTATAAAACAAAATGGAGCAGAGGGGGGGCGATAGAGAGAGGCGGAGCAAGCCGGGGTGTTTACCTGACATGTAGGTGTGTGTGAGTGTGTCAGTGTGGGGAGAAGAGAATTCCGAGGCAGGTGCAAAGCATAGGCTACTTAAAAACAATGATAAGAATAATTGTGGTCACTAAAACCTGCTTTCACAGGGTGGTGTAATGTGAAATGTGTGTCCTCAAATTATTGTTAGCTCCAAATAGGCCTACCAGTCCAAAAAACCCAAATTTACTTTCACACAATAGGCCTACATATAATTGTAGTAGTAAATCTATTGGTGAAACAGGAACAGACTATAACAAACGCCAAATCAAAACAGTTGCAATCAAGTAACTGCCAATCATGTCCCAAACCAACACTTCCCATTTGAGTTGATGCAAACTTACAACATGATGTGAAGTCAGGTTAGGTCAATCATCCCCATGTTTGTACTCCAAAAGACCAAACAACAAGTTTCAAGGTTTGTACAGGTCTATATATTTTGTCTCGTAAGTGTCAGGTAAAGATAGGACCACAAATGAGGTGTCTGTTCAAGCACATCGCTAACGTTAAGAAAGCTGAGAAGCCGAAGCAGTTGAGACTTTAACTTCGAAGTGTTTATGTTCAAAGTTGAACCTGTTTTATACAACACTACCCTGTTTCAGTTCAGAGACCTTAATGTGTTTAAAGAGGTAATGAGCCTAGTTTTAATTAAAAAAAAAGAGTTAGCTAAAGCAAAAACCCCAACTGAATTACTCACTGCCAAAATATTACCATAGCTAGTGCTGCTGGACTTGACTTATGCACCAGTTTGGTTGCACTGCTGTATCAGACAGCCCACTACTCAGAGTGTGGGATATAGTACTGAGAAGGAACAATGATGGCATCAACCTTGAACACTGGTATGTGTATTAAACTGTAATAATAAGATTAGATTATTATAACATTCTTTATAATAGCCTCTACTACACAGGGAGTAAAGCCTGGACCACATCAGGGGTGAGCATCTCACCAACTCACACCAATTCAATGCACCGCTACATGTTCAATGATATGATGGATACATTTAACATAGCCAACAGTACGTTTCAGTTAACTCCTGTCACAACAAGTGTTACGGTACAATGCAATGCAGCAGTGTGAATCTATGGATTTAGAGTCTACTAAAAGTATAGTTGTGCTCAGGAGGTAGAGCGGGTTGGCCGTTAATCGGCGGGTTGGCCGTTAATCGGAAGGTTGGCGGTTCAATCCCCGGCTCCCCCAGGCCACATGTCATAGTGTCCTTGTGCAAGATACTGAACCCCGAATTGCCCCAATGAATGTGTGTGAATGTTAGTTTCTGTTTGAGCACTTAGGCTCAGTGTGTGAATGTGTGTGAATGCAGATGTCGTGTAAGTCATTTTAGTGGTCAAAAAGACTAGAAAGTACAAATATAAAATACAAATCCGGAGCATTTATATATCTACTTGTCTCTAGACGGTTAGTTTAGATTGAGGTTTTTAAAGGTTGAAAAGTGAAAGTTTAGTAGACTTCTGGTCTCTGGCCCAGACATTGTTTCAACATCTTTTAAGGACAACACAGATGTTTATCAGATGTTCAAGTAACGTCTATTGTGAATGTAGATGTCTACTAAACTTTCACTTTTCAACTTATTTTTACCAGGGTTTAGTTTAGCAGTTTATTCTAGGGTTAAGTCTTTTACACATCAAATGCATAACACATTTGGTCTATCATAGTGAAGTCTTTTATTAAACAGTAACTAAATACGACATTGGTTTTAACAGTATAGCTGTTTCCATCTTTTTTGGAAGGGCGGCTTCAGAAGGAACAAAGCAGATTCAGCCTGCAGGCGCTCAGAATCATGCTGTTTTCCTCTCTGTACCCACTTCACTTGTTTCCATCACCTGTAGCTTCAGGCATGGAAAAGGTAGCATCAAAAGGTTTCCCCACATCCCACTTCCTCTGCACGGTCCAATTATATTACCAAAGCAACAGCAACTCTGTAACAGAGTGCTCCTTGCACTACAGTGCCTTATAAACAGCATAGGCTACTGTGTTAAAGTATTGTTTATAGTTGAATCGTTTACATGCCTTACTACAAACAAATTAGATTCCCAATAAGACATTCACACCCTCATGATGTCCCTCTGTTACTGAATTTGGTAAATCAGGATTTCTTCTTGCAACTGAACCACTATGTCTGACCAAACTTTTGATTCTTTCCCGGTTTTTATTGGGACAACAGGTGGGCTTTCCGTCTCCATTATATCCACTGACTTTCCCAGGGAATTTAACAACACGACTGAGCTTCTCAGAAACACACTTCTATGATATTACTTAGAGAAGCAAGCCATTTCCTCCTCTCATATTCCTCTTTTGTATGCCCCCGTCACTCATTCTGCTTTCAACCCCATGTTTAGGATACCAGCCATTTACAGGACAGAAAGTATTAGGCCTATCCACCGTGTGAATGGAACTGTTACAAAACAAATAACAAGTCGACGTGATGAAAATACATTACATTCATGGTGTTTTCCCCTATATTAGGCTACACTTGCCTCCTGTTTGCATAAATTGTTGTTAGGATTACGGTGGGTCAGTTTACCCGCTGATATTATTTAACTACAGCATTATTGTCCACACATCGCTGTCATGTCATGTTACAGTTGCTGAAAGATTATTCATGTAGGCTAATCTGTGTGCTGATACTCACTTGGTCTCTCGGATCCGATAGTTTGTTTTGTTTTTCAAAGTCGAGCCATGAAATAATGCGACTGGAACTCCTGTTATTAAAACGTGTACTCTAGCTGTGTAGAAGGAAAAGTTTCACGACGCAGACCAGAAACATTGAGCCTTGTTGATGTGAAGCAGACAGTAATCTGCTGTTCACGGCTGTTAAATTGTTGGGCTGGACTCTTAATTTCTCTCCTGTTTGGAGGAGACAACAGCGCCCTCTGTCGGCACGTTTGGCCACCAGTTCATTTTGAAAACTTGCTTCTTGTCGTTTCACAGACAGTCATGTGATAATGTCTGGATTACACATAAGATTGCCTAATAATGTTTTGCATATTGTGCATGTCAGATAATTTGGTACTCTGAAAAAGAACAGTATGTTTTGTAAAGTCTGTATGAATGTGATAGAAAATACATCGAATACTGTATCACAAATCATACATCAAATGAAACGTTGATTGACAACAGACTATAGGCAGATACTCAGTACCACATACTGTAACATTATATTATTTCTATTAGCCTAAACATCTACATCAGTGTGTTCATTTGTTTATTACCTTAGTTAGCGGTTTTAGTGTGTTTTAGTGTTTCCTTCTGTCAGACTGGAGGAGATTTAGGAGTTTCTTTGTGTTTACATTCTGGTTGTCTGGACAGCTGATCAGCCACAACTGACATTTAATTATAATTTAGGGTTGACCTCGAATAGTCAAAGTTTTGATGCTGCGATAGGAGGAGCCCGATTCAAATCCCAATCTCACAGTCAAATCTTGCAGCAGTGTTATGAATCCAGATACTATTATAGCTATGTGGAGGTGCTTAACATCTGATTTTACATAGAGCTACCTATTATGATATAGATATCAATGCTGTAAATGATAAACATGTGAAAAGAAAAAAGCTTTTAATAAATCTTTTTAAAGTGCATGAATAAATCAAAATTGTAACCCCAAGCCATTAGGAAGGGGGCAAGAGTGCGCCTGTGTGTGTGTGTGTGTGTGTGTGTGTGTGTGCGTGTGTTGCGTGCGCGTGCGGCAGACAAGGAAGAGAGACAGAGCACCAGCTGTGCTGCTGTTTACTAAAATTATTTTTCACTTGCATTTTTATAATAAAAAAGGCATATAATTTTTATTTTCATTATCATAGTATGACTATAATTCAATAAAAGCCTGTACAGGATAGATTTCAACAACATCATATCCATATTACCCAGCTAAAGATTTCCAGCTAAACTGAGGCTTTTTGAAGACCCTTCTCTCTCTCTCTCTCTCTCACTCTCAAATTCAAATTCAAATTAGCTTTATTGGCATGAATGTGTAACAACAATATTGCCAAAGCATCATACATACAACATAAGAACAATCAACCCCATACATTTCATTAAACACGTAATTAAAGCGTAAAGTAATCAAAGCGTATGTGTGTTTGTATTTAAAAAAAATTAAGAAATATTAAAAATTAATATAAAATAAATAAATAAAACAGTAAGTGTGTGTGTGTGTGTGTGTGTGTGTGTGTGTGTGTTAAAAAAATAATAATAAAATAAATAAATAAAACAGTAAGCGTGTGTGTGTGTGTTAAAAAATATATATTAAAAATAAAATAAATAAATAAAACAGTAAGTGTGTTTTTGTCTTTGTGTTTTATATTTAGGGCATGAGGTTAGAAAGTGCAGCTCTGTCTCTACCTGTCCCTTGTCACACTGGGAGTCTCTCCTCTTGTGGTAGCCAGCTCTGTCTGTGGCGACCCTTTTCTATGGTTCACTCAGTCTGTATGTTGTCAACATTTTTCTTAGTTTAGACATTTTATTGTACTCAGGTAATTTGCCAGTGTGAATTCTCTTTTTAGGGTCAGATAACATTGTAATTTACTTTGTATTTTGGTCGTTTCTATCCAGTATTCAATATATTTTTCTTTCTGCTTGCTGATAATTTGGTTTGGTCTGCTTGAGTTGGTGCTGCTGTCCTGAGGCTGTTGGGGACTTGTTACTGCAGAGAGCCCCAGGACCAGCTGGCTGAGGGGACTCTTCTCTGGTTTCAGCACTTGGTATGTTAGGGCTTTGTGATGATATGTCTAAACTGATTTTAAGTGATTGTAAAATTTAAGGGATCTTTTCTGTATTTTTAGTAGGAGGGGGTACTGGCCGAGCTCTGCTCTTCACAGGTTATTTGGTCTTTCTCTGCACCTGCAGGATGCTCTTACAGAACTCAGTATGGAAAGATTCTATGATTGTTTTGTCCCATTTGTCAAATTCATTATTAAGTTTTGGCCCCCAGATTTCGCTACCATATAGAATTATTGGTTCTAGTACAAATTGGGAAAGTTTTAAGCCAGATTTCAATTGGAATATAGATTTTTTATGTTTCTTTTTATTGCATAGAAAGTTCTCCTTGCTTTGTCCCTCAGAAATTTCACAGCCATGCTGAAGGTCCCTGTGTATGTAATGTTGAGGCCAAGGTAAGTGTAGTTTTTTGTGTGTTGTAATTTAGAGACAGCGCTAGGCAGGCTACACACTACAATACACTGCAATGACCAGACAGAGACTTAACAGAAACACCAGGTATATATACACAGGAACTAACGAGCAGGGCAGGAGCAACACAGGTGACAGGGATCAAGGTTATGGAGGCAGGCAGAGACAGCAAAGGGGAACAGAGAGGCAGGCAGGCAGAGTGATAACTGGGGGAACAGACGGAACACTTGACAGGCAGCAAGGGGCAAAATAAATAACCAACACAGACAGAACACCTGTTACAAAATACCAGACAAGAATCTATCTTCAGACAATGACAGAAACCCATGTAAACAGACAAACACCGACCAACTACAACACAGGGATCATAACAGACAAAACCTAAACGAGAACACAGAACTAGAACACAGAATACAGAGCAGACTAAACCAAAATAATGCAGACAAAGAGCTAGAAGCAAATACTAAGAAATGTACTAAGGCACAGGACTAGGAACACAGACATGGAACCAAAACCCAGACTCCCCAACAAGACACACAGACAGGATCGTGATTTTAAAAACAACAAAATATTCTTTGTGTGGTTCATCAACAGTGATAAATTACCTGAGAGTCCCACGAGGTGCGGACAACTCGGCACAACTAGGGCACAACACCAGTGAAGCTGGGGCTCCGCCTCTTCAGCAAGTGTTCCTCTACTGCCACCCCACACATACACGCTACCGCAACACATGTGCACTGACGACCCAGAGTTAGAGTTACAATTTTGGATTAATTCATGCATTTCAAAAACATTTAATGAAAGTTTTATTCTTTTTACATATATTAACTTATTGGGAGAAAACTGGTAGTTCTATGTAAAATCAGATGTTGAGCATCCCCATATCACCAAAATGGCATACTGCGAAGCTTCAACTGTGAGATTGATAGTCGAATCAGGCTGCGCCCATCGAAGCATTGTATCTTCGACTATTCGGGGTCAGCCCTACCACCTATGGTCAGGGAATTGAGTATCTGGTTAGCTGGTGCAGCCAGAACCACCTGGAGCTCAACACTCTCAAGACAGTTGAGATGGCTGTGGATTTCAGGAAGAGCACAGCCCCACCCCCTGCCCCCATCACCCTATGAGACTCCACAGTCGACACTGTGGCATCATTCCACTTCTGGACCTCAAGTGGAAAGTCTAGTAGATGATTTACTTCCTGCGGCAGATGAAAATTTCCAGTCTGCCAAAGTCAATGGTGCACTTCTACACCGCCACCGAGTCTGTCTGGGGTTACATGAAGAGAGAGAAGCAACTGAGGCTGCCTCAATCCACAGAAGGACTGTGGGTAGTTCTCCAAGATGTTTGGGCCAACCTGCCAAGTTCCTTCAAAAACTAAGTACAAGTTTACCTAGAAGAATTGATGCTGTTCTGAAGGCAAAGGATGGTCAGATTTTTCTCATATTACTTTTGAAAATATAATCTATTAGCAAGTTTATTTTTAAAAGCATTCTTACTTTACAGCATATTACACACCTGCCTAAAACTCTTACACAGGGACAAGACATTTGAATCTCTTGATTTTGATCAGCTTTGTGACAATGGCACACATTCAAGCATTTTTACCACAACGGTTGCCACATCGGGAGGCCTCCCTGAACATAAAGCTGGTAGATCAACACATGCTCAGCGTTGCTCTGTATATACAGTCTTTGCTATTAGACCAGCTTTAAAGAGCAATATTCAGGTCAAAGAACCACTTCACTATTTTCATTGCAGACCTTATTAAACCAACATTTCTCAACATTAATAATCATGAACAATCTCGCTCTGACATGTCTAACTGAGCAATCCAACCTGCAGGCAGCAAGAACAGCCAGCTGTTAGGAAATAGGAAGTAGAGTTAGACAGTTCTGCTTTCTCTTGGTTACACCTTCACTCTGGAAAGCCTGGTGCAAATTGTGTCAGTAAAAATATGAAACTGAAACTGAGCATTTGTTTTCTATAATGATGTGTTTGTGATGTGATGAGTGAGAAACTACATGAAAAGAACTACCTGACTCTTTTTAAATATCTCTATTTAACATTATGAGAGAAATCAGTAATGACCACTGATAAATGTTAAAGCCCAAGGTGTCGTTACTTATAGTGTTAAATATTCAGCAAGCAGGAACAACATGCACCTGCGTTATGTTCAGTATGTGTTTTAGTTCAGTCTGAAATAGTGCTGGTAAAATTAGCTTTCTGACACACTGCTTAGCTTCATTTTTCTAAGCTTGAATTAAAACTGTGCACACCATCTGCTGGTAAAACAAATGATTCAAAAACCTCGAATCTGAATGTCCTTGTAATCGAGAGCAATCCATTGCTGACATCCACTCTCACATTCACTGATAGTGTGTTAGATGTAACTGCTTTAGAACATTTTTGTACATTAATTACTATTAGTATTTTGAATTAGTAATTAGTTATGTGTACCCTCAAATTAATCGATCAGGTGCACTAGTCATGCTGCAGGTGCTGAACTGTGGGCTGCTGGTTTAGAGAATATTTTTCTTCCAGTTTAATTTCCCTCCTAACTTGTCACTCTAAAATCTCCCAAAAGGTGTTCAACTTTTTAAATGACCTGTCTCTGGGGTGTCCATAATGAGCCAGGGCCCCCTTATTTGTAAGTGGATGTCCAGATCAGAGTGTTTTACATGACTCGGGCTTTATTGGTTCTTCTGCAGGCTAC